TGGTGATTGGTATGATGAAGAAATACTCAGAAAAAAATTGGATGTTAACTAATATATATGACAATACTACTGTAAATCACATGACCAAACAGTCTGCAATAATATTCCTTCTGCAATAGCTAAACCCACTAGGATAACTATAAAAGAAAAAAAAAATCAGACATCCTATATTGTAATCTAAGAAATCTAAGAAATCTAAGAATGTTTCAATAATATATATATGTATATAATTAGTGAAACCATAAATATTTAGGTTTGAACCTTTTCAACTTCTGCCTTTGCTTCCTCCCAGCTATTAAGATTCTGAAAAATATTTTATATGGTTATTTTGGGAAGGCATAAATAAAATATTGCTTAACATTTTTATATGAATTAAAAAAAAAAACCTTTTGACACCACTCGATGTGATTTTTTGCATAGGCAATCAACATGTCTCTGATATCGCATACTTTTTGACATTGAAAACGGTCTAAATCGTTCTGGATAGAAACTGATATATTTTTTAAATCCTCAGTAGTTGTAATTACTGCTTCGTCCAGCTTTTTCAAGAAAAAAGAAAACGTGTTAAAATTATTTTTCATTTGTTTTAACTCAGTTGGTAAAAATATTTACTTGAATTATGGAGTCACGGGTTCTACCAATTCTGTTTCTTCTTGTAGCTTCTGGATCCACATCCATAATACCGTGAATTTTATGACTAAGAACTGAAAGAAGTTTAGAGCTACTGCTATTTCTTTTCTGAGATTTTGACCCCCCAAGAGCAGATGATGTAGCTGAGATATCACCATTTTGTGATAGATAGTCAAAATGACCATTACTATCATTGTTATTTATATCAGTGTTAATTTCTTCAATCGCATTGAAATGTCGAGCGTTAGAGTCTTGAACGCCACGTTCTTTGTTTAAGGCCTCCTCTAATCTTCTAGCTTCTTGTTCAGACCTTTCCAAATTTTCTAAAGTTATTTTTTGCTTTTCAAGTGTTTCACTGGTAAGTTCCATTTGCAAGTGCTTTAAATGTCTATATTTTAAAACTTGTTTAATTGCTTGAGCATATTGTGAATATTCTTGTAGTGGTTCATTAAATTCAGATTCAAGGGATGAAGTCTTCAAAAAAGACATAATTATTAATAAATAACCTAATATTAATCCATGTTAGTTTGAATTAATCATGAAAACCTACTAGTTCACTTGTTGCCATATAAGATGAATCCACTGCCTGACCTACTTTTTCAATAGCGCTAGCAAGATCATCATGATCACTCTCATTTAAACTGAAACCGTTATAAACAGCACCTAATTCAGAATAATCACTAGATAAATCTTTACAAAATTAAAGTAAGTATCATATGAATTGAAAAACGAGAATCTTTTTTAAAAAAGAAAGGAGACCGATAAATAATAAACTTCTACCATTTAAACGTTTCCAAGTTCTTCTATTAGTTTTTTCCATACTTTGACCAATATGATAAGCAAATTTACTAGTAAAATTTTCAGAGTCGACAAAACGTTTATCTGGATTTTTTAATACACCTTGATAGCTAGGAGTAGGAAGTTGAGTTGTTGTTGATGGTGATTGTTGTTGCTGCTGCTGCTGCTGCTGCTGCTGTTGCTGCTGCTGCTGCTGCTGTGAATTCAAAGGTTGGGATGAAAGATTTGCGGGTGACACTTGAAGAATATTTTTTGGGAGATTAGATAATGGAGGTGAGTGAAGCACTTCATTCTACACCAATATAGATGTGTGAGCGCGTGTTAGTTAATTTTTACCGAAATATAAACAAATGTATTTTATAATAGAATTTAAATACCCAAGAAACATTAGGTTCCAAGAAACGATGGAATACATGTTCACTCGAAAGTTGAGGATGTTTAGCTACACGATTTAAGAAAGTTTGTAACATCCTTTTTCTTTTTTCAATTATTGTCATATCTTCCTTTGCTTTAGTTTGCATAGTCGCATAATCAGCTTGATAAAAAAAGCAAATTCCATTTAATTCAAAGATCTGAACTGACAAAAAGTAATTAAAAACCATAACCGTTTAAAACTATTAACCAATTGAATGTTTCTCTGGTATCGGTGGAACAATTAACGTTGGATATAACTTCATCATCACTTTTCGTAATGATTCAAATTCAGAATAACGCCTTTTGACTTCTTGTTCCTAATAATTATTGAATTAAAAGAAACTATTTCAATTGTTGAAATAAATAAAATAAAAAATTTATCAACTTGATCAATTAATTGAACATTATAAAGAATTTAACCAATTAACCTCAATTTTGATGGTATATGTAATGAATGAACTCCCATTATTATCGGTGGTTTTTTGAGCACTTTCAATGGAGATAATTGAGCCATCATTGTGAATGTCACGATCTATTTGACAGCAAAAGACGGCTTTTACTTCTGGTTTATAATTAAAGTTTACTGTCGCTGCAAATGTTTCCTCTTCATCTTGTTCTATTTCCTCTTCATGTTCTGAATTATCGTCAAATTCGTTATTATTAAAAGCTTGTGATTTATACATTTTTCAATTAAAAAGTGCTCAATTTAATTAAAGAAAAACTATTTTGTGATTAGTAATAAGTAGATCACGTTCAAATTGTTTCACAAGCACAATCAATATAACTCAAAATATATAGAGCGATTCTGAGGCTCTTAATAAAAGAATTCTGACGGCTGGAGATGACCAAATCTATATAAAAACCGATGAAAAATAAAGGATTAAGTTATAAAATAATCAATTATGTCTCATCACATGAACCTAAAAGTGTAACGACTTTGGTTCTACCATATTCATTAGTACAAGAGGATATCTTAAACTTCTTTTGAGGCAACTGCAAAAATAAATAAACGAGAAACAATTAATGTTGGATTGGATGGTTTTCATGCGATAATATTCTAACGAGCTAGTTTGATTCATTATCAGTAGCAGACTCGAGTTTGATTACTGGATTGAATCGTCAAGAGAATGAGATCTTTCTTGCATGAGAAACCGTCTCATTACAATCAAACGGAATCTTTTCAGACATTGACCTTAGAAGCAGATGAGAGTGCAAAAGAAGCATTTATTGCTTGCATTAGAGCTTGGATCCGGATATTAAAACTATCCATTTGTATATTGTGATAGAAAAAACGGTTTTATCGAAACGTCGTTCAATCATATGACAGCATGTGACATAGCCCTTTTTTGTTTTTTTCGTAATATTTTAATTTAAAAGAAAAGGTACACACACTGTGTCACGGAATCGTTGAAAAATCAGTATAATTTAATATTGATGTCGTATTAGTATTAGTATTAGATCAACCAAACTTTATACTAATACTAATACTAATATATACCCAAAACCTTTTTCATGCTTTTTCTAATACGTTATTATTCAAGTACAATTTGATACTTCAGGGCAAAATAATATACTGATTCTATGATTATTATGCTACCAAATGATAACTTATAATTTTTTCAACCAACTTGGGAATAACCGTTTGAATTATCGCATGATTTATTTGGATGTTGATAACTTTTACATTCTTGTAAAATAATAAAAGGATCTGCTTTTGCGTCTCTTTTTATTTTTTTTCTTTTAGAAAAGTATTAGCAATCTGTTTATTGATTCCGATACAATTAATTTTTTCCGAAAATTTTCATTTAATTCTGCAATTTTAGATTTTGTTCTTTTATACGATAAGGAATAATGTTTGGCTTCCAAAGCATTTTCTTAGAAATTGAAACTATCATTTTCTGTAATCTTTTAAAATCATGTTCATTTTGACTATGATGAGAAATGTGAAGAAGAACGAACGATCAAAAACAATTGCGTCGATAACCTTCTGTATTTTTCATCAAATCACTGCTCAAACCATATTTTACTGCCAATAAATGTTTGTCAAGAACATCTTTTTTCCTAATATTCTATTATTACTTGATCATGTGCAGTCAACATATTCTTAACACTCTTTTTTTCCTTCATTATAAACAAGACCTTTAAAATGAAGTTCGTTAACATATGAGGTCTTTGGCAGGAGGAATAAATAATATAAAAATTAGGTTATTAGTATATATATGCTGTACATATGTTTATCTTAAAAATTTATTTAAAAAACTTATTTGATAATAAGTATCTAACATAAAACAACATTTGGAAGATGATCATCGATCCAACACAGAATCTCTTGGTGCTTTAACTAAACCAGAAAATTGACAAGATCTTAATCAACTTGCATAAAACATAATCCAGTCCAACCATCTGATGGTGAATAATTTAAATCTCTCATATAATTACTTCAAGAGTAACTCCAGTTTGATTGAATTGGTATAGTTTTTCTATTATTTATTTATGTTAACATAAATAAATAAGTTGAGGAAAAAAGACAAAAACAAATTTCTCAGTCAATATATTTGTAAAATTGATGTTTGTTCTCTATGCTTTGATTCAAATAAGCTGAATGTAAATCAGATCATAAACATCTGGATTTAAAGATGAAGTGCTAAAATTTTTATTTTTCTATATTTTTTTAAAGTTAATAGATTTAATATATTATGCTTATTGGCTAAGAGTCATTCGATTATGGTAACTCTATTAATGCTAGTCGTAGAAGTTTACTGCTATAGATGATGTTGACGCTTCTGAATCTTTCCTGGTGTAAAAATAAGTTAAATCAAAGAATTTTTTTTTTTGAATGGATTTACGTGTAAATATTACACTTTTGAAAATAACGGGGGAGGGTCAAAGTTTTTTTACGTTACATGCATTAATTAAATAAATAGTTACACGTAATTATTTTGAACATGCTTATGGAAGATGATGATGCACTTAGAGAGAGGGTTATCATTTTAACAATATATATATACAGATTGGATCGCAATTAATCAATCTACTTAATAAAATGTTCGATTATGGAAAACATCAATGTGTATTCAAATCTTGAATATATCAATAATTTATTATTATTATAACTATTGCTATCTACATTTTCTTTAATAATGAATTTATATATATACAAATAATATATAAATTTATTAGAATGAAAATCATCATTCTTGAAAAAGGTATTTTGATTTTGATGATCTAACGTCAAAACCATATAAAGTTTTCCCTCTACGTTTTAATGCGAAAAGAATATCCATGAGCATCACCGTTTTCTTGTTTTCATATTCCACATATGATACTACATCTCTAAGAACATGATATAGAAAGTCTTTAAGAGCTGTTCTTGCCTCATCATAGATACCTGCTGAGATTCTTTTTACACCACCTCTTCGTGCCATTCTACGTATAGCTCCTCTTGTCACATTTTTAATATTTTCTTTGAATAATTTCTTAATAATTTATTTATTTTCACATTGTTAATAACTTAAATAAATAACAATGATAATGATGATCACCGTTTTATTTAAAAGTACTTACACCTTGTCTTCTTACTGTTTTACCCCTTAAAGTTTTACCTCCAACACTAGAACTTCTAATTTTTCCTTTACCTTGTCCAATTGCCATTATAACTTATGGTCAAATGTTTATTATTATATTATATTAATTACTATACCTAAATATAAAGATATTAAAGATATATCATTAGTGACGATATATATTGCATTCACAATAATTTTGTTTAATGATTATTGTTCAAGAATATATGTATAAAGAAATGCTTATTATTTTCCTATAAATAATGCATAATAAAAACTAACAATAAGTTTCCAATATGAATTAGTTATTGATGATTGTCTATTCAAAATATTTTAGTTTGTTTGGGAAATATTTATATTGAGTGTATATGATCTACAAAGATCTACAATTGGCTGAAGATCATCCTTAATAGTTAATAATCTATTAAAATATAGAAAGTTACTAATATTCAAACCACCATAACTTTTTAAGTAATAAATATTTTACATCAAACTTTTCATAGAATTATTCTTTGGAATTTACTATATAAAACTATGAAGAGTTTGAGTCCAAAAGTGCTCTGCGTGTCCATGTGATGGGCTTCAAAAATGCTGAATAAAATTAGTCGGTTTTAGATGACTTGAGCTATACGCATATACAAATATATGTTAGTTTATAAAAGGAATAAAAAAATAATAAAGGTAATAAATACAAATCTTACTGTGATTTATGTAAATCCTTTTGTCCACGTATAATATCTTGAACAGATTTACCAGAAGGTAATATCCAGATATCACTTGGACTTTTATCATCAGGATATTTTTGAATGGGTGATAATGTAGTATGTAATTCTATATCACTAATATTCATAATTTCATTACAGTCAATATCAATCTCATCATTAGGCATTGATTCAAAATTGGTGTCTGATGTGGTTGCTTCAAAATCATTTTCATCATCTTCACTTTTTCTTTCTAGTTCTTTTGTTTCATTTCTTTTCAAAAGATTGGCTGAGACTTATGGACCATTCTCGAAATATCGTTTAAACGTTCATTTCCCGTTTTCAAAAAGTTCACAATGCCTTTGGCCTAAAAATTTATGTGAAACTTGGGATTTAATCCTGGAAGATTCAAAGGTATGTTACCTCAACTAATTTTCGTTTTTTATCTATTATATTGATTTTTTTGGCTCAAATTATTGTCTCCCCGGAAATCTTGTACTTCCTCCGATTTTTTTTCATCCTTGGTGGGAAAAAAATATACCATTGTAAGATATAAACATTCTAATAATCTAATACTAACCAAATCTCACTTTAACTTTAACCCCTAACCCAAAGTGGTGTATCTATAGCGGAGCCGTAGTCTTTCATATATGTAGCCGTAGCCAGCATACTAGCTAGTAGAGTAACAATGCATTCTCAACGGAGCCGTAGCCTTTCATATACCAAGCCATAGCCCGTATACTAGTTGATAATACGTTACAACATTTGTGTGTTGTGATCCCGCAGAGCCGTAGCTATTGGGAAACAAGACGAATGTCTACACCATTGGCTACACACACATAAAAAGTTGGCTTACTGCAAAATTTTTCAAAGCTTCTACAACTATTTTGTATTGGTCATCTGCTTTATTGTAATCTCGTTTGATTATGGAGAGTTCCGAAACATACTGACTTTGAATGTTGTCCTTCTGGAGTGAATCTTTTGTTTGTGCCAAGTATTTTAAGTATGCAAGCAGTGATGGTTTTCGAAACCAAAATCCAATATGCTGTAAATTTTAATGAATATAATAAAATACTTGTTCTTTAAATATATACATAACAGGTAATATGCCAAGCAAGGCTTACCTGGTTCACTTAATTTTTCACGGACGCTTTTATTTAGTTTTATTTTAAAACTTTGGTTTTCCAAATTTGGAAAGTTCTTTTCTTTCGCGTTTAAAAAAAAATTTTTTGTATACAGTAACAGTCAAACCTCGTCACAGCGGACTTCGACACAGCGGATTTCGGATTTAAATATTGGCCCCTTTTTTTATTAGTATTAAAAAATTATTTTACGTGACATAAATTACGCTAAATACTAAATTTGAAGTGATCGCCATGTTTCAAAGCTTATAAAAGTACTCCAACTTTGAAACCTTTCAATTCAACATGGAGACGTTCTTTTGGTAAACCAGCCAGTAAATTTATAGGGCTTATCAGAACATGGTTACTGGCGAGCTTTCCAAAAAATGAACTTATGCTGAGCCGAAAGGTTTCAAAGTCTGATGATTGAATTATTCAAATTATTCCTAATTAATTTGAGTATTCAAATAAAACAAATGAACAATAAAACAAATGAAACAATTAAAATGAATAAAATTTTTATTCGATTCATTAGTTTAAGATTGAACAAGAAATCGTGTTACAAATAGAAGCATTGTTTTAACTGCAATTTCAGTTCCTTTTTTTTTTGTGAAGTTGATTAAATCTAGATATCCATGATTTAATTCATTTGGAAAGAAGCTTCTAGTTCATTATTTTTAGCATGTATTTGAAGATTCTGAACATATGTTCGAAACTTTAAAAAAGCGAAATGACGTCACGAGTACTTCGTGCGAAAAAGGAGTTCAATTAAATCTTTTGCGAAAAAAATTGAAAAAATTGAAATTTTGTCACGTGATTACATTTCACTGATTCATAGACGGATCGTCAATTAATTATTTGTCGTATATATTAAAAATAAAATATTCAAAAAAAAATGATGGATTCACCGATTCAGTCAAACACACAAGATTCATCTCGATCTTCAACTCCAATGCTAACATCGCCGTTACTGCAACAACAAAATAAACGTAATTCACCAAGAGATTTTGTTATTCGCTTTCTCAGTCCAAAAATAGCTGTAATCTCCTCCAAGGATGCCGATCAAGTTTGTCAAGCTAATAACATTCCCGATTTTTACTCACTGTTAAAACCTTTCGGGGATCGAATTGAGGGAAGAGGTCAGTAAAATAGAATCCCAATTAGGAAAATCATACACATACAGCAAAGGATGTGATATATAATGCGCTTTTGAAATTATTGTTTAGGTACATGTAGATAGGAAAAAATATTTTTTATTCTATTTGAACAATTTTACTAAGTATATCAACAATTTGGTTTTTTTTAATAATTAACAGTGACTGCACGTGATTCTCAAGGATTGTCAAACACGCTAGAAAATTTTACAATTCGATTTGCACATCTATTAAGTTTGGAACAACCTAATGTTGATACTCTTTCGCAGGCAATCGCTGAAAAAATAAAATCGTTTGCAACCGATAACAACAACACTTTGAATAAAGAACTACCAATCATTACTTCAAAATCTGATGTCACTGAAGACTTTTTAGAATGTAAAAATTATTTTAATTAATTAATTCACAAATATTTAAATGGTTTTCTAAATATTTTTTTTAATTGGCTGATAGTAAACCAAGATGATATAACACCTTGGTATGCAGAATATCGTAGACAATATTTTACATTCACGGGAGCATCTGAACATGAGACATTCGATCATCCTGTAGCATGTATCCTTTGATATTACACACACACACATATAATTAACTATTGATTCTAATGAATAATCACATCTTAATGTTAATTATCCATAACTTTTATTACGTTTATTGTTGTATGATTTATTTAATAATTATTAGGCATCATTGCTGTAAGTTCATCAAATCCAGATCCTGTAAAAACTGCTAATGAATTGTTTAACAATGACAATCCAGCACCAATATATGAAAAAGGTTTCATGGATCCAAATTTGTTGAAATGTTATGTACTTTTACATGATAATTATAAAGTGAGCTTTGAACAGTAAGTGCATTATTTGACGATTATTAATATGCCACGTTAAAATGCATTATGTTCAAAATTTATTTATTGCTGTTTAAATTTTTTAAAAAAAAATATAGTTCCCAGATGCAATTTGATACGATGAGACGTTCATTTAAAACTCATTGTTATCAAATAAAATTAAATCCTATCTTACAAGCAATACCTTCTGATGATCCTTTTCCCGAAATTGGCGATTTTCCACCACCTCAGATTCCATATGGACAGCAATATTTAAGTGGTGAAGATATTATTGGTATCCAGTCTTTTGTACGAGAATTGGTGAAAGCAAGTATAATTCCACATATGGAAAGAAACATTCAGACATTAAATGAACAAGTTGCTTCATCTAGACGTGGGATAACTGGCCGATTGTTTAGTGCAAGTAAACGTTACTTTGGTACTGGATCAAAATCTGCTAATCAATCACAACAACAACAACTTTCTCAATCATTTTATTCTGAAAAATTTGCAATACAAAGTAATAATCCAATAAATGATACATTAGTCAGGTAAAAAAATCCCCTTTTAAAATTATTATATTACTATTACTATTACTATTATTATTTTTTAAAAATAAAAATTAGTTAACATTATTAATATAATGATGATGTGTTAATACTACAAAGATATCATTACAATTCACCAGAGGCACAAATGCGTAAACTTGCAGATTATGCTTTTATGTTAAGGGATTATAAATTTGCATATTCTATATATGACACAGTAAAAAAAGATTTTTCTGCTGATAAAGAATGGAAATATAGTGCAGGTGCACAGGTAAATAATAGATATATATGTATATAAAAAATAATTCAATAATCATATTACTAATACTAAACTATTAACTCCTTTTAAAAAGGAGATGATCGGTATTTGTTTGTTAATAGCCTTAACAAAAATCAGTTCTAGAATTGATATTGATCATCATTTTGAACAAGCTGTCAATTCATATCTTAATATTCTGAAAATGCCTTTTTATGCAACAAAGTCAACATTATTATATTTTGAATTGTTGAAATATCGAGGATTATATAAAGATGCACCATCAGCATTGGTACGAGTGGCTGGCGAGGTAAAGTATCATGAGATTTGATTATGAATTTATTTAATTTCTGTGAAAAATGAATATGTATATATTTAATTCAAATTATATTTAGGACTCTGATCTTAGAAGTGCATTGTTTTTAGAACAAGCCGCTTATGCTTTCCTTAGATGCCAAATACCAATGGTTAGAAAATACGCATTTCACCTAATTATGGCTGGTCATCGTTATGCAAAGTGCAATCAGGTAAAAAGAACAATTCGTTTTCATATTATTTTACATATTTATATTATATATATATTAATTTATAACTATAATTATTGACCATTTATTATTATTATTATAGCGTGAACATGCATATAGATGTTATTTAGCAGCATCAAATGTTTTTAAAGATCATTTTTGGTCGTTGGCCGAGGATCATATACATTTCGCATTAGGCAAACAATCTTTTCATTTGGGTAAATTTGATAAAGCGCTTAAATATTATTTAAAATTATTGAGAACTAGTCGTCAATCACCTAATCAGCAAAATACATATTTAAAAGAATTCTTAACTATATATAAGGTAATTTTTATGTGCTTAACATTTTTAGCCCAAATAATGATTTTTTTTAATCTAATATAATATATAATGTGTGTATATATATATATATATTATATATAGTATTATACTACAAATATGGGGGGAAAGCCTGATTTTGTTTCTCAAGAACTTAAAATACCAATTATCAAAGACTCTTTGGTAAAAATAGTTCTTTCAAATTCTCAATGTAGTGAATATGATGAAATTTGGGAAGGAATGGAAAAAGAATATTTGGAGGAAACTTATGTAGGCATAGATGAATTTAATAAGTATGGGAAAAAACCTTCTATATTAAAAAATAATATTTGCCAAACAGTTGGTGCAGTTGGAGGTTTGTTTTTATTATTTATTTAATCAAAAAAAATTTTTTTTTTTTTGAAAAATTTGATTATGATAATAACCAATTTACTTGACAATAAAAAAAAATATTTTTAGAATATTTCTTTGTACATATAACTCTTGAAAATCCTATGCAAAATCCAATTAATTTAAATGAGATTACGCTTGAATGTGAACATATTTCACAATCAAATGATGAAAATAATTCAACAAGTATAAATGAACTAATGACTAATGAAGATAAGACACAGCCTAGCAAAAGTACAAATATTGGTGAACCTCATATGAAGATATTTGATAACTTTGACCTAGAAATTCTTCCTGAAGTTTCGCTTGATGCGCTAGAAAAAAAGACGGTAATGATGGTGACACATTTATAGGAGATGCAAGATATCAAATGATTTCTTTATTAACCTGGGCGTGTTTATGAATTTACTTTATTTCTTTACGCTTTTTTTTTAAAAAAAAGATATCTTTACGAGTTTTACCAAAGAAACGAGGAACTTTAAAAGTTCTTGGTCTTAGATATAGCCTTAATTCTTTAGTTAATGGAATGAAAAAGTTTAATAAACGCGGTAAACGTTTAGATGACACCAAGGAAAACAGAATTAATGTAACTTATACACCTGATAAATCATTAGAACTGATGGTAGCTTCTCCAATGCCATTACTTGAAGTTGATTTTCATTCTTTTCCAGAAATTTTACTTTCTGGAGAAGTTAACCTTGTAGTTTTGGAGGTAAACAATAAAGGTCAAAAAGGGCTTAAAAACTTGCGAGTAAAAATGAGCCATCCAAGTTTTTTCTGTATTGGAGAACCAGAAATATTGGAAAAAACTTTATATGGTATATATATATACGCATTTAAAATTAATTCATAAATATTATATACATGTGTGTTATGAAATATTAATCAAACATAATTAATTTGATACAAATATGCTTTTAATTAATTAATTAACAAGATAATGACAGTGAAGTCCAAGCAGTTAACGAATTGAAAGCATCCATTGAAAGATTAAGAATAAAAAATTCCTTTTTTGATTCCAAAATTAGAGATATACCTTTACCACTTCAAAATGGTGCAAATGGTGATTTTCCATCTTTTGCGTTAGCACCAGGAAAAAATACCCTAATACCTATTTGGGTTCGAGGAGACAAAATTGGAAAATATATGTTTAGATTTTTATTTATTTATGAATCTGAGGTATTTATCACCACCTAAATTACATTTATATTAAACCTATTATGCTAATAAGCTGGTTTATTTGATGATAGGATAATGATTCGGTCATGAGTTATCGAAGTCTCCGTTATTTTCGAAATACACAAGTTCAACAGTCATTAAAGGTTAATTCGCTCACTAGACCAAGTGCTCGTGGATCGAATGAATTTATATTATGTGTTGAGGTACTAATAGGTTATACATATAGATTTAATTGTCTTTAATTTTTCTGAAAAACTTTTTTAATCAAGTAAACTTTATGATTCAAACAGGTTGAAAACCTGCAAACAAGAGCAGAATTTCACTTGTATCAATTTTCATCGATTAGTCCATTATGGACAGTATCACCTGTAAATAAAGAAACAAGGTAATTTATATAAATATATATTATCATGATATTTAATTTTAATGTAAAATCTAATACAACTTTTATGTATTAGTTCAAAAAAATACTTGATTCCACCGAGACAAACATTGTTTACATATTATCGAATTGCTAAAAATGAATTAATTCACAATTCAGATAATTCACAGGATAACAATAACAATAATATTATTACACCGAAATTTTTAATAATTTTCAAGCATACTAATTACCACTTTTTTTTTATTTAATGAAAACGATGATAATAAAAAAATTTATTTATTTGCGAAGATGAAAAATGTGATAATAGAAGTTTATAATATGTTTGCTTTTGTGATTTTACCATCAAATAAACTATGAATGAGGGATAGATAAGTATTTCATTATTAAATGTATAAAGAAACGAACTGAATTGAAGTATTGTTGTCAATTTTGTGGTTGATATTTTCTTATTCAATCAAAATTAATTAATTATATATATCTAGATATATATTTTTACTTGAATTAATATTTGTAAGATGAAACATCAGAAATATTATCTAGAAATTTTGTTTTCCTGCTAAATATTCTTTTTTTTTTTTTGTTGGGATCACGGCTCGATATAAGAACATTCTCGTCAGTTGGACAATCTTCAACATTTACATTTACAATCCCCTCAACACCTGCAGTATCAGAGTTAGACCACATCTTGCATTGGAAAAATATGGAGACAGATCCTCTCTTATGGTGGTAAGCACATACTAAAGAATACCCAATTGTAAGTAATATGGCGCGAGATCATCTTTGTCTATTTTAGCTGCACCTGTCATTGGATCAATAATAAGATCTTGCTAATATTTCAGTATCTCTCCTTTCCAAAAGCTTTGTTGTAGCTGGCAAAGGACAATCACAAATTATCTTTGATTTACATCTTTTTTGTTTGGCCTATTTGTTTGATTAGACAGTAAAGACAGTTTTAACGTTTTGTATTCTTAAATTTATAAAGGATTAATCAATATAAATATATACTAAGGTCATACTTTTAAGGAACAAATTTGAATTTCTCCCTTACCAATTGTAGTTTGAATAATTACTACTATGACTATGACTGCTATTGCTATCATTATTGCTATTAATCATTATTACCAGGTTCAATGACCCGATGATTATAAATGTTTTCATTAGAGTTCTTAAAATAAATCAAACATGTCAAGCCTAGGGTGCCTGTAATTACTCGCTCCAGATTCCTAATAACACCACTATTATTAAGGGCTAAGGATTCTTCTTCAAAGGTTAGACTTCAATAAGCCTTTCATAAAAAAAAAGAACCCGAATGCAATTTCAGTAAAATCCACAAACTTATTGCACCATTCTAAATTTTTAAGGACGATGGTGACCTTGCCATTGACAATTCTACGGGATTGCACAAGTCTAGTCTGTTGGAAACACCGTAAACAAGTTTGTGAGTATTCATTAGTCATTCCGATCAATATCTTTTACACGTGAATCTCGGTTTAGCGGATACTAACTAAAAATCTCGATTTAACGGATGAACTTTCCATAATAATAATAATAAAAACTTCTCAATATAACGGAAAATTTTCCCTATTGCTATTACTTGCCCAAATTATTCGTTAAACCGAGACTCTGGTCACTCTTCGGTAAAGACATCTTCGGGTTTAATATTGCTTTTTTCCAATTTTGTTTGATCAAAGTTAAGAGGCATGTTTATTTCGATTTGACTTTTTTTGTTTAAAAATTCTTCACTTAAAAAAAACGCGTCATTTTGTTATGTAATAAATTTTTTATTAGGCTCGTGACTGACTTGATAGTAAGAAGAGAAAAAATAATTAATCAGCAAATAATATAAATTGGTATTCAATTAATTTTAAATAATAATAATATATTCAAAAACGTGTGTTCAATTAATTTTAAAAAGTAAATATAATAATAATATAATAAAAAACTAACATTGATAAAATAACAATAAAAATAATGTCACAAATATGTATGTTTATATATAAACTATGAATTATTATCTTCTTCATTTTTTGATGATGATGGTGGCGATATTGATGATGTTATTGTTGTTGCTTCAGCACTAAATAATGCTTTTAAATTTTCCTCATTCTTCTTTTGACGCAATCTTTCTATTTCTTGAGCTCCTCCTGTCTTTTTCAATTTGTTTTCTGATACAAATGATGTAAGTTCGGCTTCAAATTCATCAATACTATTAGCTAAATCTATTTCTCTTTGTTTTTCTGCTTGCTCCAATGCCTTCAACCTTCTGTTATGATCTGGTGCTATACCTTTAACCTCTTGAAGAACTGTCTTCAATCCTTCAAATCCCTCTTCTTGAGGTTTGACAAAAAATTCTTTTTTGTTTTTGATCTGAATATTTATGACTTTAAGTATTTGTTCAAATACTTCTGTCAATTTATTATCATCATCCATTAAATCTTCGATCAGTTCCTCTTGATGATTAAGGAATTTCTGTTCATCAACAATCACATTCAGCTCATCTTCCCATGTCTTTTTCCACATTGGCTTAACCGATTTAAGATACTCTTGCAATGAGGCAAGCTCTTCTCGCACACTTGCTGATTCATTTTTAACATGTTGAATTATTGTATCTTTAGGTTTACTCCTTCGTTGAACTACATCCAATTTCAGATTATCAATAAGGTCTTGAAGATCATCAACCTTGGTAAGCAAGGCTCTTGTCTTACTATCCACTTTGGCTTTTCCTGCTTCGATAAATGTTCTTGCAGATGAAATATTTTTCGTTAGTGCTACCTTTTTAAAATTTTCTGTCCTGGCCAATAATGTTTCAAACGTTTTCTTAGAATTTTCTTGAAACTCAGTGTAAACTTGTCTCATCACTCCTAAATCTCTTCGAAGATTTTGTACTTCGTCATATTGATCTTTAATTTCTTTCGCAACTTTTAATACGTGCTCTTCTGTCACTTTCTTATCATCAGAATCTTTCTGTTTCTTCACATTCTCTAAAACTTTCTTTGCTAATTGTGTAAAATGTGATTCACTTGGACGTGGTGAGGGTGGGGTGTTATTTGCAATAATACTATTGTGACGTAATAATTTGGTATTCTCCGAAAATGATTTCTTTATCTCTCGAATCTCTTTAGTAAGCTCTCCAATATTTTGATCAATATGTTTCTTAATTTGTTCTAAGGCTTCAACATTTAAAGCCAACACTGAATTATCTGTCACTTCATTCAAATCTTCTAATTCGTACATTATTCCAACATTTGGGTCTTTTATATAGATATTAGGAAAATCATCCATTCCTGGATTATATTGAAATTTTTCAATAAATAATATTCTTAACGTTGGTATGCTAATATCTCCATCATATTGTAATTTTTTAACTTCATTGCCTAATTGAAGAAATAATTTAATTCCTTTTTTCTTTTCTTCATCTAAAAAATTATTTTTTTCACCAAAAAAACCCCCCAAAAAAAAATAAAAATTATTAGAAAAATAAAAATAAATAAATCTATTTTTTTAATTATTAAATAATTTTTACCTGAAGATTTTGGAATATTTATAATTGGAATATTTTTAATAACATTTACATCTCTATTATCATTACCATCATCATTATTATTATCATCATTGTTATTACTATCATCATTATTTGATTCTTGTACTTCTTTCTGTTTTATTACTTTTTCATCTACTACTGTAGCAATATTACCTTTAGAATTATTAATATGCTGATTAGCTTGATCTGTTAGTATTGTTGTTGGAGTTGGCATTTCTTCTTTTGTCATCTCTACAACTCTATGTTCAGGCGACGGTGGTCTTAAAATTTCCTGTTTATTCATACGCGAAGCAATTCTTTTACCTGACCCTTTTTGCATGGTGTATGCAGAAAATCTTCTAGATGCACGGCGTTCAAGATTTTCGGTATGTATTAATGCAGCCATTGGATCAGCTGTATTAGGAACTACAAGCTTTGAAGAAGGAGAAGGAGGAGGGGGGGGAGGAGGGGGAGGAGGAGAAGAGATAGGCATGTGTCTTATATTATCGGGGTTAATTGTTATTGCTGCTGATGATGGCAATGAAGTATTTGCATTTGAATAGTTGTCTGGTAGAGGGGGTATTGGTGGAGGGGGAGGTGAGGTTCTTGCTGTCTCTACATCACACCTAGGTGGAGGATTATGAATTTGTTTGTATAGTGCTTGTTTTGCTTTTAATCCTTTTAATAATGACACTATTGTTTCTTTAATTGTAGGAAGATGTTTCTCTAAAGAATTTTGTGAAGCCTCCTCGCTCAGTGCCTTTTCTAAGCATGCTCTTAAATTTGTTGGAATATTTGTTAAATCGCTAATTCATTTATTTAATAAATTAAAATATTTTAGTTGTTAGAAATATGAACTATATATATATATACACACACACAATCTTATATATTATCATTAACTCACCTTATATCAACTCCAGTTTGAGAAAATAATTGTATAACAGTGTTAAATTCACTTACAAGTTTTACATATATATCAGAAACCTGTTGTTGATTAACACGTTTCGCCGCCCAACCAGTTAAACTTTCCAATAAAGCTTTGGTAGTAACAAGAAGTTGAGTGACCATGGTTTCTATTGAACTCATCTACGAGAAAAAAAATATTGATTAATTAATTAATAATATAAAAAAAAAAATACAAGCGTTGAATGCTACAACTAAATTTATTGATATAACTTGTGCTAATACTAACTGGAGAATTTCCTGCACTTCGCCTTTGAGGTGTAATCGGTAGTGAACTTTCACGATCTCTTTGTGGTGAGGGAGATGAAGAAGGCCTACGTTGTGGTATAGGAACTACTCTAGAATTTGATTGTGGAACAAGCATTTGATGGTGAGTTGGATAATCCATTGTTTATTGTTGCGCATAATATATGAAAAATTTTTAACGAAAACGACAAAATCAATTTAGTGCAACACCAATCTCTATTTCAGGATTAATTGCCATCTATATGTTCAAATTTTGTCGATCAAGTTTAATAATAAATACAGACGAACAATTTTCGGTAGTAGTAGGATTATCTTCTCGTCGCGAGAGGAATAGTAATAAGATAAGCCTATATTAATATTAGGACAAAATCCGAAGGAAAATTCGCTAAATTCACCGTGATTAACGTTGTAATAGAAACAAATGAATTTCATCAAGTAAAATCGGCTACTGAAGAATCAAATGGTCTAATCGTCAGTGAGCGAAAGTAAAGACGAATTAGGAATGGAAACCAAAAATCACAAACCAATCGTCAGTCATATTCAATCACTTTTACAACTGGAAAATTTCCTGATTCTTCTTAACAAGGATGATCGAACAAGTCAAACACTACAATAAAAACAAAAATGCTAAGTCACCATTATCTACTGGAAATAATAATAAAAAAATTAGCCAATTCTCCTTCAAGTCTAAACAATCAAAAAGTAAAGGGAAAAGCCGGCTCATGACTCAACAAATCAAAAATACAAAAGAAACCAACCTGATAAATCGCATAAACCTTCAATATTTACCATCCGAAATTAATTTTATCACAATAATACTATATTATTATTATTACACAACAAATTTCAATCAATTAAATAATAATAGTAATAGTAATAACGAAGATTTATTCCTCGGTAGCATAGGTTATTTCACTAATTCGGATGCTGTAAATCTTTTTATCATTGATTGCCTTATACTTGCCGTGGATTTGGCAAATTTTACTAATAATTGTCAATATCATCGTTCAACAACCACCTTGATTGCAACTCATTATAGTCGTAACAACAACTACACTAATAATAATAATACTAATGCTGATAAGACCGATGATACTAATGGCAACATTAATGCCAAATCATGCTGATATTAATTAGAAAGCTAATAACTACAAAAATTGGATAGAAAATTTTATATTTATATATTTAGCTATAATATATTTATCACGCAATGTGATAAATGATAATCTTCCAATTTTTTTATTTTCGTTTTTTATTTTTTTGTAAAAAATATGACGATAACATTAATTTACTCATCACCTGAAGTCATTAGCCGTGAACAAGTTCAACAGCACACGCTTGAACCAGGGATACTATACCCAATTACCCATCATGTTCAAAATAATGTCAATGTCATAATTTCACCAAATACTCATAATCCTAACATCGGAAAAGGTTCTTTATGGGTTACAGAAAGGTTTGTTTTTTTAAAAAAATAAATCAACTCTTACATTTTTGTGGCTAAATGTCATGAAAAGAAGAAAATAAAAAAGTAAAATTAGTTAACTTTTATTATCTTTTTTAAAAGCAAATTATATTTTTATTCATGGGAGACAAATAATGGATTGGCGATAGATTATCCAACTATTATAATACATGCAGTATCAAGACAACAAGCTGTAGATGACGGTATAGGACCATGTATTTATACACAATTAAATGAAAAATCAATATCTTTTGGTGCCGTTATAGCTAGTAATCATCATCATCATCAACTACAATTAGAACAACAAGATGAGAAGAGAGCAGGAGAGGGAGAAAACGAAGAAGATAGAGAAATGGGAGAGAGAGATGAAGAAGATGATCAAGACGATCAAACTTTAGAAATGAGATTTATTCCTGATGACACTGGAGCTCGTACGTTCTTAATTTTCTTTTTTTAGGAAATATTAAGTTATTTGATTATAATAATAATAATTTAAAAATTATTTATAGTTGAGGCAATCTTTGAAGCATTATCAGAATGTTCTGCTTTACATCCGGATAAAGAAGAAATGGAAGATGAAGAAGATGGAGAGAATTATTGGAATGAAACAGAATATATGGCAGCTTTACCGAGTGATGAACAAGAACTTAGTGAACTTGGAAGAGTATATATATATATTTTGTGCTTTATTATATTAGATTTTTTTTGAAAGGAATGTTTATATAAAAAGATTTAATTAACTAATTATAAATTTTAGGCTTCGTTAGCATACCTTGATTCAATTATTACACATCCGCAACAATCAAATAATCATCAACATCAACAATCATCTTCAAATCCAAATAATAGTGATAATAGTGATAACAAAGATGAAGAAATGTTTCAAGATGCTGATGAATAATAACAAAATAAAGTAATGATAAAATCGTGGTTATATATACTGTATATATATGCGTGTGTATTTCTTGGTCATCATAATTAATAAAAAGCTGAATTATATTATATATATCTAAACTATATTTTGTACAACTTTTAAAAATATAGAACTCAAGAGTCACCACCCTATATAAATTTTTTTTAACTCATAGATTAGGTGTTCTATTCTTTTTAGTCATAATTAAATATGGAATAGACCTCATATTTAGTTATAGATGGGTAGATAGGCTGGATGATGACGGGACGGGTTCAAGTCCCACCGTCCTTTTGAAAAGGGTCGGGTTACTGCGCTATAAGCACCTGTCCCACTTATACATGAAAGTCGACCATTCGCAGATCTGGTCGAAACAGGGTCGAAACTGATTTTTACTATGTAGTTGCCTCAAGTCGAAACATTTTGACTTTGGGGTTTTAATTTCGACTTCATGTATAGTCTCACTGTCCTTCCTTTCTATTATTCTTGGCCATGGCCAAATGCCAATACTGCATTACTTATCTTTTTGTTTTTATTTAATTAATCCTTCCTTTGAATGTAAATGCATTTGTCTCTGTAAATTGGATATGTCTGTTACAATATTCATGATAATTATTATTTGAATATATAGTAAATTGCATCACCCAGGTAATGATAATACCAAGAAATGACTTTTTAAGGGACTAAATTTGAAAATGGCGACATAATAGTATGTGTCTACCCAGGTCATCAAAATAAATAAACAATTACATTCCTTTTTCCTTTCCTAATTGCATATAGTTATAAGTTGTAGGGGTTCCTTTCTTAAAATCCCAAAAAATGAAATGAAGAAACCTGGTATTGAGATCATGAGCAGGGTTAGCATTGGACATGTTCAAAGTGTATTGTGGTTTGGTGTTCTTGATGATGGTAATTGAGTTGGTGATGAATTTGATCAGGCAGTCGATTGTTATTTGAGTTGGTGATTGAGATGGTGGAGTCACTGGAGTAAATATTATGGTGGTTTGTGATGTTGGTGTTGCTGTTGAGTGGTAGTTTTGGATCTACAGGTGCAAATAATATTCATGTTCAGCACCAACCCTGACTGATCATGGGTGCCAGATTTAATAGATTTCCTGCCACAAAACATACAAGTGCCATGCAATTGCACCTATTGTTATGTAATTTTTCCATAGATGAGGCTTTTGGACATGTTGGAAGGCTTCAGACAAGCAAGCACACAGGTAGAAATTTTTGGTTTTGATTCAGTATCACTTGATAAAATAAGGATTAAATTAGACCATTTAACTGACGTTTTCCCAAGATTATAAACCAATTCAGAAGTCATGCCAGATTGATAATTTACTCCACATTTTATCAAAATATTGTATTGGAAAGATCCTAAACTTCTACTCGTGAGTCCCTTGACAATGATGCAATTCCATAAACCTCAGAACATTACGCTTTCGAAAATTTGGTTGCATCATCATATCTTGAGGTTATAAGGTCAGCTTAGTCTTATGTAAACGAGGAAGAGAGAATGATTGTAATGATTTAACTATAAACTTTCCATCCAGTAATCAAATAAAAGTGTTGCATATCGAATTAAAAAAGAAGATCAAAATACAGTAACCGTGTTGCTTTTCTGACTTTTCTTAGTAACGATTACAATAAATAATATCAGGACGAAAAATAAACTTCTGGTTATTAATAAAAAAAAATTTATTTTTCCAAAGCCATATCAAATATTTGTCTACTGTACCCATACTATGTGTATCAAATATATGAATTTGAATGAAATCAATGAAACAAGATAATTAATCACAATTTTAGCAGGTCACTCCAATTTAAATTATAAAATGAATCCTTTAAGGAAAAAATGTGACAAATTTTGTTGCTTTTTAGTTTTCAAGAATTCTTAGCTGTAAGTAAATTCTGAAATTAATAATCTAATACTCTCTTAAAAAGTACTTCATTTTTTAATAGCTCAGCAATTCTTCTTTTTTTTTGCAATAAAAAAAAAACAGGAACAATTAATTGACAAAATTGCGACAATATCTAACATTCTTTGAAAAAGAAAAAAAGAAAAAACATTAGAGGATGGACAAACAATTGTAGATTCACTTGATCATAATTGAATGCTTTTTTGATTTAAATGCTCGATTGAATGAAGAGGCAAATAATGATGTTGAAGTTAATGATGATGTTGAAGTTGATAATTCGTTGGATATTGTTTCGAATGACTTATTAAATGAAGAGGCAAATAATGACATTGAAGTTAATAATTATGTTGATTATATTGAAGTTGATCATAATGTAATGAGTACTGATTTTTTTAAATATTGGCATTAACAAGAAACTAAATACACGTAATATTTCTAATATATTGGGTAATAATGATAATAAAAGCTATAAACCTATATAACACATTTGCAGAAATCCGAAAATATCAAAAAGTTATTTATTTTTTATTACATAAATTAATTGGGAATTTTACATATACATTTTTGTATAGGTCCAGGTAGTACCATGGACATTTCCCAAGTAACTCCCTTTGGTTTAGATAGCAATCTACAGTTATAATGGCGCTTCAAGAAGGTAATTTCATATGATAAACATATGAGTATATGTGAATATTTAGTTATATTGTTGATCGAATCCACTAATCTCAATATATATGTGTATGTAATTGCTACTGAACATATATACTTGAAGATACATATGTATGCCAATTTTTAAAAGATCTTGAACTAGCTAAGAGGCTTCGTGGTGAAAGTCATATTAACAATGGTATGTAATATAATTGTCATTATTGCTTTGTTTCTGTCATAACATTTATCCATCAGATTATAGCTATTGATCTTTATTCTTATTAAATGATATAATTTATAGAAGTTCATTAAAACATCTTGTTTTTTAAATTATATATAATAATATATTCAATTGCTATAATTTTTAAAACATCTCGAAAATAATAAAATCTTTGTCATCATTGAAATTTATATAACAATAATATATTAAATAATATTAATTTTTAAAACATTCAAAAATAATCTTTATTGTCATTTTTAAATTCATATAATGATAATAAGTTCGAAAGATTTCTTCATGATAAGCAAAATCAATGTTATCGAAGATTTAATATTTCATTTTTCAAAAATCCTAATAACAACACATCATCATCAAGTCTTGTTGCTGATATGATGAGACAATCTGGGAGTAGAGAATCATTGATGTCAAATAGGTCTTTTTTCGATCCAAATCATCAAATCATGTCAGGGATTCTTCACTTTCTAATTGATCATCAAATCGTGTTAGAGACAGTGTTGGTGGAACCAGTATTAGCAGAAAAGGAATACATTTCGTGAAATGTTCTGTGACTAATATTAATAATACTACTGGTGATAGTCTTCTAATTCTAGAGGTTCTCTTGTCACAATTATGCCATCGATGAATTCTATGGAAAGTGTTGAAGGAGGAGTCATTTCTCTGGATTATGATCATGACTATGATGATGATAATGATAAATTAGTGACAATGATAAAATTGATACTATTAATAATGATGGTAAAAATAAAGGTGTTGAAAAGCACGGGTTACTGTGCCATTACTACTCGTCCCACTGTCCTTATTATTCGTGAGCAAATCTTGAAAGGGACAGGTGAAAGCTGTTTGTCATAATATAATTTTTAGTAAACAGGCTGCAAAATTGGACCATCATAATTCCCGTCTCCATTTATTCCTTATCTAAAGTCTTGATTTTTTATATTTTTTATTTAGGGCAATTGAGGCTAATTGTTGTATTACTAAATCAAATATGAATTTGTGTGGTTGGGTGCATATTTATTTGACAATTTTGATTTGTAAAACTATGTGAAAATCGAAATTTATAATTGAAATTTTGGGATGGGATGAAATTCTAATGAAAAATTATATTCCAAGTATCATCCCGAATTGTATAGATGGGCATATAAATTGTTTTTGGGGTTGTCTAAAGCCAAAAATAGTATTTAGACAAAAATGTCAAATTAATATAAATAGTAATGATTTGCTTTAAATATAACTAAAAGTCACGTGGATATACACAAAATTCACAAAATTTCAGAATTATCCAATAAACAATTCAATTTCGGCATTTTAGACAATTGAGACCATTATTGTCTAAAATGTCTAAATTAATTTATATTTTAGACATTGTCTAGTTTAGATACCCATCTATAGTGAATTGCAAATTCACATAGATTTCATTTTCACACGCACAAAAAAAATGTGTCCCGCTAGGATTTTGCCAACCCAAAATAATTTATTTGACGCGTTTGTGTAATCTTTTATTTTATACTGAAAATTAAATAATGAAATTTAGTATGACGACGATGCTTTTGCAGATTATTTTAACCTTCAATATTTGACAAGATGATGGCAACTCGTCAAGTTCTGGATCAAAAAGACCTTCTGTTATATTGGGGATTTTGCACGTTCAATTAAGCAAAGAACCGCTGCTGTAATGCCAATACATTGACATCATTTTTTTCACATTCTATATAGAACAAATTATTATTATTGTAAATAATAAATTACACAAATTGCATTTTGGAATTCTCTTTTTATTATTATTATTATTATTATTATTATTACGTTTTGGATTTTTGAGTTCCTCCGTGTGGTGCAGGGATAGAAAGCTCAAGAAATTCCATTTAAAAGCATAAGCGCAATATTCTTCTAATGGTGCTATTCTCGAGTTATTGATATCATATTTTTAAGGCAACAGCAAATTTCCGTCTTGTTGCACATAATAATAATAATAACTTTAATATCAACTTTAAACGTTTTGACATGTGGATTTTCACGTTCAAAAATAATACTTAGTTACACGGTGTATATATATATATATAAAATTGCTCACATATATATGAAGATCCTAATTAATTCCACAAAATTAATAACGACGTCAACTTTATCCAAACACCATACATACAAACCTTCAACATGGCCTTTATTTTGTATTTGACCGCTAGTCTTGGTGCTTTATTATTTTCTAGTACCGTTTGGTACATAATGTGGAACGTTGATTATTTCTTTTTTGTATGGCATCCAACATTGATGGCTTTAACTATTTTCATGGTGACAAATGGTAAGGATAATATAATATATATATAGATACTAACAATTAATTATTATAATAAATGGATGTCTAAAAGATTTCAACGACTTGATTCATTTAATAGGCATTCTTGCTCTTCAACAAACTATGACCAGGGAAGAAAAAAGTTTGGGACTTGACTTGCATAGATTGATTCAAACCATTTCGTTATTAAGTGCAATCGGCGGATTTTACGTCACCTTCACTTTTAAAAATATGAATGATAAAGAACATTGTAATTATTTTATATTTTTATTGTAAAGCTACAATATATTATTTTCAACTAACGAAAATCATCTTTTTTTTTTATGAAAAAAAGTCACAACTCCTCATGGAGTATTTGGATTAATAACAATTATACTTTTGATAATCCAATCAGTTGCAGGAGGCACTTTGGTAAATTTTCCTGGGTTATTTGGAGGAGTTACCAAGGCACAAAGGATTTATAAATATCATCGTATGAGTGGATATTTCTTATTATTTCTTGTTTATTTAACTGCTATTGGAGGTACACAGAATGATTGGACAAAAAATCAATTTGATAATTTGTGGGTTTGGTTTTCAGCAGTCGGATTGATATTAGTAGGAATTGTTGGCAGGGTCAAATCTAACAAATTGAAAATTAGATAAAATTATTTAATTATTTTTATTATTATTGATTATTTGAATTTTTTCAATCGACTTGTTTTTGATGTTCTTGTGTTGTGATGGATGAATTCGAATTATTTGGTCTATAATATAAATCAATCAAATTGTTATCCTTTGCATATTTATTTGCCATATACAAATAATTTCTTGGTGTAAACACGTAAGGTTTAATCTTAATGTTTGCATCAACGTATGGTTTAAGCTAATAATTAATAATCAATAATCAACAACTAATAATAATTATAAATAATAAATAAAATCTTTTATTTACTTTAAAATCAGTCAAATCAGGCACAATGAAATTTCGAACTTTTTTAATATCAATTCGATAACCACCTGAAAAGAAATTAAAAGATAACAAATGATTTATAAAAATTTTTATTATTAAAAAAAAAATCCCCATTATATTTAATGCAACCGACCTTTCTTTGTGTGTGAACCTATCGCACCACTACGATTACCTATAGAACTCGTTATATATATTATTATAAAATTTAATATTTGTATTCAATAACCTTTCATTTTTAACAATACAATCAAACACCTTTATAATATTCATGGCCTCTTTTTGCAGTCATGGGTATTCTTCTTGAACCACGATATAAAGTTCCAAATCGGCTCATTTTTGTAGGAAAATTTTTTAAAAGATATGTAATGTAAATCAATCAAATCAAATTAAATAATTATCCCGCAGCAATCATAATACTAACATAATAATTTTATTAATTTTTGAAATTCAAACATGAGTGCTAATAATTCTGCCACTGAAGATTCTTGTACACATGAAATTCAGTTGCATGGATTGTGTGCTCTTTGTGGTAAAGATGTTGTGGCATTGGAATCATCTGAAATTAATTATAGAGAAAGAGCTACTATCAGCATGGCTCACAATATTATGGGATTGACAGTGAGTCATACAGAGGCTGAAAGATTAGAAGAAGAAACATCACAAAGATTATTAAAAGAAAAGAAACTTTCTTTAATAGTTGATTTAGATCAAACTCTCATTCATGCTACTGTTGATTCTACAGTGGAAGAATGGTTTAAAGATGAAAATAACAAAAATAATCCTGTTATCAAAGATATTCACAAATTCGTTCTTCCAGATAGTCCAACTGTTTATTATATTAAATTAAGGTACATACTAAATTTTGTTATAATGAAGCCATACTACTAATCATTGACTACTAGTGTATATATTTAAAATAATTTTTGATCTTTAAAAAACTTAGGCCTGGTATTCAAGAATTTCTTAAAGAAATTTCTGTATATTATGAACCACATATATACACCATGGGTACACGTAATTACGCTTCTGCTGTAGCGAATGTTATAGATCCTGACAATGAAATCTTTAATGAACGCATATTGTCACGTGATGAAAGTGGAAGTATGTTCTTTAATGATTTTGAATCAACCCCCCTCCAATACCAAGTATTAATCAAATTTTATATATAATTTTTTCCTTCAAGGCATCACACAAAAAAATATTAGAAGGCTTTTTCCTTGTAATGATTATATGGTTGTAGTTATAGATGATAGAGCTGATGTATGGGGTTGGTCACCTAATTTAATTAAGGTTCAACCTTGTAGGTTTAAATCAAATTGTTTAATTTAATAATTTTATCAAACAATTACATATTTTTAATCTATGTTTTATTTTTTCTATTATCATGTCAATTAAGATGATTTTTTTGTGGGTATTGGTGATATAAACGATACATATTTACCAAAACAGGTTGGTAACCTTACTTGTTTCTTTCTATTGTTATTCCATATATCATTTACATTCCAACTTATTCTTTATTATAGACAGGGTCAAATCTAGTTTCCGATTTAACAAGTGTTTCTACTAATATTGATATGAAGGAAGTTGTTTATCCTGATACAACAGAATCAAAAAAATCAATGGAACAAACAGAGCAAACAGAATCAATAGAAAAAATGGAACAAACAGGATCAATTGATATGTCAATAGACAACTCAAATATAGCCAAAGGTGACTTTTTTGATTTTTTTTTAAATTTATAAGAAATGCCATTATCATCATCATTATTACTGAAAAAAGCGTTATTTAATATAATAGAAACCATTGAAATATCCAAGGATAGTAAAGAACAACAGTCAGAAACAAACAAATCTCTTGATTTAATAGAAAAGGAAACTGTCAAAACAGATAAAGGTACAGTTAAAGAATTGTTCATTAGAAGCTGTGTTTATATTAAATAAATAAATAGGTACATAACATTTTATTTATTATACAAGTAGATTTTGATGATATGACCATTTCCAATAAAATTGAAAAACAATCTGAAACAAATAATACTAATAACGGATTTAATATTGTTGAAATAAATCCTTCAAACAAGAAAAAAAGGACATTTGAAGGTAAGATTATAAATAAATTTATTAGTTTAATTTAATGAATTTTCTTTGAAATCATCAATTTATATTCAATAAGATTTTTATAGAAATAGCTGACGATATTGAAGTGTCAGATGAAAAGTCACTTAAAAGACAACAAAAAGAATTATCATCCAATAATATTGACACTGAAATACTGGAACAAACATCACCTTTACATAATGCAAATAATCAATTTATTAATAGAAAGCTGATACTTGTAGACAATGACACAGAATTGCCTAATTTATTAAAAGTAATAATTTAAATTGCTTTAATAATTTAGTTATTAAGAATTAACTATTAATATACATGGGTATTTTAATTAAAAAAAAAAGGTACTGAAAAATATTCACCAAGAATTCTATGATGAATATGATATAATATCAAATGAGTTAAACGAAAGGATTGATGATGAAATAGATCGTCCAGATGTAACACTTTTAATGCCACAAATGAAATCAAAGGTTCTTAAAGGTGTCAATATTTTGTTTACTCATGTTATTCCAACAAATCAAAAAAAAGACAGGTTTGTTACAATAAATAATGGTTATGTCAGATTTTATTAGTTAATCAACAAATTAATAAACAGTTTTTTTATTTATCAAAATATTTATTTAGTACAGAAATTTGGTTATTAGCAAATGAGTTCGGTGCAGAGTGTTCAGAGTATTGGAATAAAAATGTAACACATCTCGTTGCTGGTGATGTAAGTATAAATCCTCATCATCATTATTATTATTATCCTTATTATTAATAATTAATTAATATTACCAGAAGGGCACTGAAAAAGTAAAACAAGCAAAAAAATATGGATCTATCCATATAGTAAGAAAAGAATGGTAAATATATTTTAATAAAACAATTTACAACAAATGTAAACTAGTAATAATAATTTTTATAACCTTTTTTTATAAAAAAGGCTTTATGATTCTATAAGAACTTGGGAAAGACAGCCCGAGGAAAACTATGCTTTAGAAATAACTTCACCTAGAGAACAGGATGATTCAGCATAATTTAAAATTTATATTCAACTTGGAAATCTTTATATAAGATGATTACTATATTATTTATGAAAAATTTTATTTATAAAATTGTGAAATGTGTCTTTAACATTTTTGCGAGTTTTGACCAAAAATTAAATATTTGGGGCATATAGACAAAGTGAAATTATTATTTAATTATCAAATTTAGTGGGGATTGGTGGTGATAATGGCAAAAAAATAAAAAAATTATTGATCACTTTTAAACAGATCATGTTACACTCTTTTGTGTTTGATACTTCTTTACAATTGTGAAACAACCCCTCTAAATTAAAATATTATAAAAAAACCATTATTATCATTATTATCAATATAACTACAAACAAACACTCAACAAAAATGATTACTTTCATAAGTGAATTGTGAATTGTGTGACTGCACTATTCTTTGGCCTTTTGCTACCACATCTTCATTCCAAATTTTCTATTGCATTATATCCTTCAGGGAAAAGTCATTAATTATCCTTTCCTTTTATAGAAGGAGAACTATAGTCTGAGAAGGAGTCTATTGAATGGCATGGCAAATAAGAGTACACTAAATAGAATGAAGATGTGTTATTGACTATAAATAATATGATTACGCGATCAAATATTATTTATTCATTAATTCTTTGCCTACAATCGCTTATAAACATCCTGAATCCACAACATGTCATAATGAGTCCTAAATACAAGCTTTCCTTCAAATAGCCTTTCAAAAATAGTCTCTGCTGGCAATTCTTCTTCGTCAAAAATCAATCCAAGCTTAACTGCAGATGTATATTTATTAATGAGTTGTTTTATGCTGCCCCATTTAGATCGACGTACAGTGTTTAATTTCTCCTCAGCCGATGGTTCACCCTACAAGGATTAACAAGATTACAATTGGTTTAAATCTAAAAAAGCTTTAGGTAATTGATACATACAATTTCCCAGAATTGTCTCATCATTTTCTTCTCATTGTCTGTAAAGATTTTGTTAACTGGGTCCATTTGATTCCGCTCAGAAAGGTTGATAATATGATAATCAAAAAGACGGTGCTCCACTCTCTTCATTTTCGCAATGAACTGTTGGACTTCAGCTGACACATCATTAATTTCATCATCGAGAAATAAATTATCATCCTTGCTATTAGATTGCATTATTGTTTGAGGAATCGTTTCCATCTTATCAGTTGCAGTTGATTTTGCGAAAAAGTAGCAATGTTCGTCTCATCATTGAACACTAAATTGTCATCCACTTCCGTACTGATTGTTCTGATCTGCGCACATATTTCAAAAGGGTTAAAAGACATGTCTGAAAACTAAATAGTAAATTATATTCAGACCTTGCCCGATGATATCGAAGATAAATCTTCCTCGTAAGATCGCTTTTGTCCTATTATGGTACCACTTCTTCCCTTCTTGATATCTCAGCTTGTTCCAGTAGGTGTGAATTTACTTTATTAACATACTCATTAGATTTCTGACTACGAGAAATACAGAGCACATCCAACACTTCTATCTGTGATTTCTTATCGAAAACATCCTAGAAAATTGCCAAATGATCATGTTAAAATCAAAATACTTTAAGACTATTCAAAGTCATACATAACTCTTTTATCATCAACTCTCTCTCTATTTCAACACTATCCCAAAAGCTCTTTTCTTCAGATGGACGCTTCTAATAAACTCGAGAATAGAAAGCAGTTAGCAAATATCAATCAAGAAAGTAGTATGTTTAATATGTTTCGCTTGATCTTTCTGGAGGAACGGCACCCCACATCTGTCACACCGAGGAACGGCACTCCATACCTCGAGAAGGACGGCACCCTCTCTAAGCCATGCAACAGCAGAGAAGATCGTGAGATACAGTGCTGGGGAACGGCACCCCATACCACAAAGAGGACGGTACCCTCATAGGTTGCATAGAACTCGCCAATAATGGTTTAGAGATAGATCGCAATAAACAGAAATATGACGAACCTGTCGAATCAGAAGAGTTACACGCCTTTTGATGTCCCCATCGTGTTCTTTCTTAGCAAGAAAGTCACTTAGAAAGTTTATATATCGCTTCCTCCAAATGGATTTTAGATCGTCCATCGAATGTTCTTCCGAGATGCAATAAGATTTTAATGTCTTTAGAAAACCCAAATATGACCATAATAAAACGGGTGTACTCTCAAAATATGACTTAATTGACAAATCTAGTTCAGTGGACATTGAGCTAAAAGCAAAAACAAAATTACGCGTAAAAAAGTTACACAGGACTCAGATTATAATTCGTGGTCCAGAGATCGTCATTAATAAAATTAAAAAAAACGTATCAAGTAGTTTAACCCAAACCGGTTCAACTGGCAGTTTGGTTTACACATTTAAAACCGCGGTTAAACCCCAGTTCAAACTCCGATTTGAAACTGAGCTGGTTACAAGTTACATTTCAAAAATTGGTCATACTTATTCGTTTTATTTGTTTTACAAAATATTGGATATAAAATATTAATTCACATCTTGATGCAACAAATTCTATATTATTGTTATTGTTAAGGGATTTAACTATAACAAGATAATTGATTACATTTATAATTTACTATGGTTACTAGTATGACTTAAGAAAAGAAAAGAAAGATTTATCATTATATACAAGGGCTAAGAAGGAAAAAATAGATTGATAAAGAAAAATTATTTAATTGAATTGGATTTACCAATTTTATTCAATTATTAATTTTATTCAAATTACACATTAGTTTATTTAAAAATCTTACTAACTGATGCTGTGGTCCTAAATTTTGAATTGGGACTGATAATAAAATTTAACTATGTTTATTTTTTTATTGTTCATAAAAGAAAATTATGATAACAGATATTTCAATCACAATTAATTGAATTATGGTGCTACAACTTGATATAGAGATCAGGCTGAACTCCAGCTATTGATGCAAACAATTTAAAGTACAAGCAAATATGAAGAGAATTGGTAGTGGTGGTGTTTAAAATAGCTTTCATTGTCGGAACAAATAATTTGTTTTTTAAAAAAAAAATTTTCATTTTTACCAATAAAATTATAAAACTGCGGTTAAACTTGAGTTTGAACCGCGGTTCAGACCGCGGTGGTAAACCGCCGGTCGGTGCGGTTCACTAGCCAAACTGGCGATTTATAAACCGAACCGAACCGAACCGTTCCCATCCCTACCCAAGGAAGATGTGAATGATTGTAAGGTTTTAATATTCGAGCCCTGGATATTGTAATAAAATGTTGCATATCGGTTGAATCGTTTTTTAATGTTCCCAGATTGTCCAAGAACGGTTTTCCGTGTGTGTGAGATATCTTCTTCAATGGTTATGTTATTTTGAAATTTCTTATAATCATTTTTAATGTTAATAATGTTCACACGAAACAATATACCAGTCGCTTGTTTATTATCACATCTATCATTATATAATGTAAAAGTCACGCTCTCACTTCACTATTTTATAAAAAAAAAAAAGGTATTAATACAGGAAAAGAAATCTCTGACTATTACATATATCAACAAATAACATACCTTTTTCCTCAGAATCATACCAAATAACGCCTCCATGATTACTAGCGAATACCTCTTGATCTCGAATTCCAAAAAAATCAGAGGTTTCTTTGTACAATGCTGTGCGTTTAGTGGCATGAAAATCAAATTTGTGTGTTTGGATACAAAATTCTGATTGGCTAATTTGAATTCTTAACGAATAAAATGAAAAAAAGAAACAAAAAGGTGAAATCTAAAACTTATTTTAAAAGAGCTTTTTTGATATAATAACGTTTTAAAATATGTGTCAATTCATCGTTATGCATTTTATTGTCATTTTTTACTTTCTTCGTGAATTTGACGTAATTGTTTACAACTCTGATAAACATTTCATCAAAACTTTTTACTAAAGTAAAAAATATGACTAAATAAAGTAAAGAAAGCCTTGATGACATTAAAATATTATCATTTTAGTAAAAAAAACTTGATGATTTAATTTGTAAAAAAAGAGCAAGTATGCCATGCTTAATGACTTAAGTGCACATGGACATTTAATAACAATTAGCGTGTATGCGAACTATCACCTACATACATGAATCATATGAATTATGAAAATTATTGTTGGTTTTATATTACAACCTTTGTAAGGGAAAAAAAAATTAGGCTGGTTTATACGAGAGAGATTTTTTGCGTGCACTTCTATCGTGATTTTACAATTCATATTTTCGAACTACATATTTCAGGGTCGTTTATTAGTTTATGATGGTCAACATCCAATGCAGTTGAATGTTGAAAGAAACGACTCATTTTATTTATTTATAAAATTTACACATTCAGGCATCAAATTATGGCCACCGCTCTGTTCTCTGATCGAAAGGACATAAAATCTGACAAATCCTTTGTCCCAAATCCCAAATATACTTACTTGGGAGTGCTATGAGGGCGAAAAAGTCGATCCGTATATATACTTCTTATGAAGTAAATTACACAAACTAAATGAATATTTCTAATCAAGCCTACTTACATTCCCGTTACGAATTAATTTAAATCGTTACTATTGTTCATCATTTCAATTTCTATATACAACTCGTTTTTCTGTTAAATTGTCAATATTATTACCATAAATATAAAATATCGACCCACGGGACCGAAAAATCATCAACCTTACTTTCTGAATTAGTGCCAATACTGCTCAACCAAAGAAATTTTCTTAGATAATAAGCATTATTGGTATCTTCGATTTTTCTTTGATTTGGTTTTGTTGCTATTGGCTCGATAAAAGGAAATCCACATTAATCATATGTAGTAGGTATGTAGTACAATTGTGTGATGTTGAATAATTTTGAACCCTGAAAATTCTTTGTAGTACCAGTAAAATTTCTTTCTTATTATGTGTAGTCCCATTATAACAAGGTCTGTTATAACGAGGTTTGATATTTTTTTGCACAAAAAGTAGAGTTTATTTATTATTATGCTTCAAATATGATGGGGATAGCTGCACGAAAAACGAGTAATTGGGGTTGTGATGGATGTTTGAATATTAATATTTGGAAATTTCATTTCATTATAATGCTCAAAAAAAATAAATCATGGTTTGACCCCACGCTGATTGTCAAAATTATTTCTAAATTTGATAATTTTTCTCCTTATTTGATGTAACCTATTTATTACTATTACTATTATATTTTTTCCATTCATTATTTTTTTATTTTGTTTTCCTTGACAATTGCAGCATCCGATAAAACCTTTTTGATTCCTATTGGTTAAGCAAAAAACCAAAAAGGTATGACAATTCTTGACGTTTAAAATCAAAAATTTACTCTTACTAATTCAAAAAATTTTTTCTAGGAATTTAACATTTCAGTTCTTATTCATTTTTAAGAATAAACTGAAACTTAAGTGAAACCTTTAAAAACGATAACTTTTTCATGCACTATCAATTTCACTCTTTTTTTACAAAAAAAAAAACAAAAACATCGTCTTTGGATTTTATTTTTTCCACTCGCATATATTAAAAAACAATAAAATTAAATTATATATTAATTAGTAATGGCTCCCTACCCTAATCATTCTATCACAAAACCAGAAATTAAAATAGGTTTAAGACTTGATGATAATTATGCTGACACCTTATTAACAAGAATCAAAAGTTTATTACGTACAACTTCATGGTAAAGTTACTATAGCTATTATTATTATAAAATTTCATATTTTTATGCATTAAAAGATTGTTTAACGAACGGTTAAGCTGACCTTTTCTTTCTTTCTTTCTTTCTTTCTTTTTTATTTTACAGTTTTCCAGGAACTCAACCAATAGATTTTAAAAAATGTCATTTTGATCTATTAGAATCAGAAGAATATTATGTTAGAGATAAAACTGATGGAAAACGATATATTATGTTTTTTACAGCTGTGGACGGTGGTACAGCATTTATGGTAATTATGATTTAAAATAAATTTATTATTTGATAATCTAAAAAATAAAAACCTTTTTGTGCCTTGATTATCAATCAATTAGATGGACGAATTAAATAAATTTCGAACATTGACTGGGTTCAAGCTACCATTACGTAATAACCTTAATCAGTTTCATAATGAAACCATGATGGACGGAGAGGTGGTGATGGAAATTGATGATGAAAAGGTTTATTTAAATATTTTTTTTTATTTGCATATTGAAATTATTTATTACGCATACATTTTTTAAAGTGTTATGTATGTATGTATATATGTATGTATGTATGTATGTGTGTGTGTATGTTGAACAGCATAATTAATTAAAGGTTACTTCTTCAATGTCTAGAAATGTCTAAGGTATTTGATATTTGATCTAATGGTGTTGAATGGGAATGTCTTAATCGATAAACCTTATAATAAGCGAATGGGCGTAAGTATTAAACAAACGTTTAGACTTTGGACCTGAAAAAATAACACTTATTAAATTTGTATATATTAGATGCTCAGACAAGATGTAATAGACCCATTGAATACCTTACTACAGAAAAATTTAGATATTAAGAGCAAAATGCCCTTCACGTGTGTATTATGTACATATTTAAAAATTTCTAATTATAGAGTCATCCGATTTTCATTAAATGTGATTCTACCTGCACATTTTTGACATGATTAGCATAGAAATAAAAACCATGGATTTATCCTACGGGCTTAGTAATACTTTACAAAAAATCTCAACTTTAAAATACGGTAATGAAGGTCTAATATTTGTCCCTGTAAATCATCCTTACGTACCTGGAAGAAGCGAGAAATTGTAAGTGATTTAATTACTCTTAATTTTATTTTTAAATTATTTATTTGTTTATTTATTTTTTAAATTTTGCGTGAAACAAGGTTATTATGGAGGCCAGTAAAACAGATAAATGTAGATTTTAAAATAAAAACAATTATTCAGAATCAAAGAGATAAAAAACCAGTATTTCATATAATGATTGCGGATAAAAATCAATATAAAAAAATTGACCAATTAACGTTAGAACCTTCTATTGAAAAAGAGTAGGCATTCATTCATATTTTAAAATTATATGCTATCAATCATATTAATCAGACAACTTCTTTTAATCAGCTGGTATAAAAATCCGCCAGATGACAAAATTGGTCGATTCTGGTAAATATAAAAACGGCAAGCGCGCACACATATTTTTAAATCAATATTGATCTGTAATTTTATTATGTTAGGTATGACAAGAATTGGGAAACTAGAATTCAAGAACAAGGCTACGCACCACAAAAACGTATTGGTGGATGGAGGTAAAATTAATCTATGGACGGTTTGAGTTTATTTAAACTATATGCTTTCATTAAATACGATTGGCTTAATTTTACTTTTATCATAATATTAATAACTTAGGTTTATAAAATTTTGTCCTGATAAGCAGACAGCCGATACCGAGCAAAGTCTGCAGGAAACATTACAAGCTATAGAGAATGCTGTGTCAAGAGAAATGGTAATCTATATTATAATCATTATTTATCAGCTAACAAATGTAGATATCTTATAATCATGAATATTTATCTTTAGTTAGAAGAGCGATCATCTGTCATAAGGAATAATTGGAAGGTTAGACAACCTTCAAAAACAATAAACTATTCTTGCCCGCCTGTGATATCACTCGAGTCTAGAAATTCTAGGTATAATTAAACTTTGATCTTTATGATGTGTTTTTTATTAAGAAAAAAAATTCAAATCTTTATTATTATGCTTGTCAGTTCTAATTCTGAGTCAAGTTCGTCCGCTTTCCCTTCAACTACCATCCCACAAAGCATCCCAACACCAATGAAGCCAATAGAATTGGTTCAACAAGCACAAGATTCTAAATCACGTGAATCAAAATTTCCTACTGATCAGCAGCATAATTATTTAGAAAGATGCGTAATAAAGCTTGATCAAAAAAATCATGAAAGTTTTAATTCATCAGAAAAATCAACTACTTTGGATGAAAATTCGCAAAATTTTATTGTTAGCTTAACATCTAAAGAAAATTCATCCAAAGATAATTCAAATTTTCCAGAAATGCCTACAAAAGATATGAAAATCGAGCTTAAAAATAAAATAATAGCAAAACAAGGCTCCTCGTTTGTTAATAACAATATTAGCAAAATATCATTTGATAATGAGTCAATAGCAAATGTGACTGAAAAGGTAAAAAAAGATGGTACTGAAGATAAGGAAGGAAATATAAGGAATAAGAATAATGTTGAATTAGAGGAAAAGATAGGTGATTTTGTAAAAGATGACGGGAAAACACACAGTGACTCGTTGGTGTCAGCCTACCCTTCATCGTCGTCGTCGTCACCGTCGTCATCATCATCGCCACCATCACTAACAAACCCACCATCTTCACACCCATCAATTATTGTTAAAACTTCGCCTGTAGCTAACATGAACAATACCAAATCAATTGAAAAAAAAATGACTAATAACGATATTCATGACGCCGAAGAAATCGAAAATTCGGAACCAAAAAATTCTTTTAAGAATTTAGAAGAACCTTTTGATTTCCCAAAAGGATTTGATGGAAAAGCAGTTCAAAGTTCGAGCAATGAAGATTATGACTCAATAGATGAATTAATCAAAGAGAAGAAAAGAAGATCAAGAAGACCAAAAGAAAATAATGAGACAAACTCAAATTCTGAAATAAGTGACGAAAGTAGCCAAGAAAGTCAAGACCCGTGGGATTTACAGGCAGCTTCTACTCCTCAACAAGATAGTGATGATGATGATGATGATGATAATGATGATTTAGAATTATCGGAAAAGGAGGAATTCTATGATGAAAGTTGGGAAGAATTTAACGAAAGCAATACTAACGTCGATAATAAAAATACCAAATCAACAACAAATCAACAAAAGCAACCATCTCAACAAGAAAATTTAAAATTAATTTCAAATTCCCCCGTCACATCGAGTAATCCCACCTTTAATACCCCTTTAAAACCACACAATTTAAACATTCAACAACAAAAAATATTAGGTTCAGATAGTAATTTTTCACAAGAATCTAATTATAATTTATCACCTAAATTACAAAATTTAAATATCACACAATCAATTGCCAACAAAGAGAGTAATGATTCACAATCTCTTCCGCAAAGCACTCATGGTACAAAACTATCAAGACCTGAAATTTCAACGATGACAATAACAACCAAAGGTAATGGTTTTGAAGAATTATTTCCTTTGTCAGAAAAGGACATATTAGGTCATGAACATAATAGCGACCTTTCAGAATTTCAAGGAACACAATCAACAACACCACAAACAAATTCGAAATTTCAAAAAAATATACAAGATAATAATTTGACCCCCAAACCTAGTATTGAAACGTCAAATCAAACATTTGGTAGGAAGAGATCTTTAAACATCGACGCGATTTCAAAATCGTCGTATCAAGAAGGAAATTTTTCGCCACAATCAACACTTTACGATTTACATCATCATTCTCAACATAAAGTTTCGACTACTTATGGGCACGAGTCAATACGAAAAATTTCACAAAGCGAAGAAGGGTCACAGTCTGCCACCCAAAAGCAATTTCGAGACAAAGTGCAATCATCTTTACAACAAAACATCACACTAGCACCCGAGTTAAATATTTTAAGTTATAACACTCAAATACATCAAAATTCACCGCAAGCGCGTCATAAAGATAAATCGTTTTCAGAAAATAAACAATGGGAATCAGATTTAAGACAAGATTTCAGTCCAACAGATATACAACAAACACAATTGCCGACATTTTCTAACTCCAGAACATTGCGTCGGCATACTTTATCCTCTGGTATAAATACTCATCGAATCCTTTCAAGTGCTCTGGATAACAACCATCAAAATCATGCAAATCCTTCTATGTCACAACGGCCAGAATTTTTACCATCTACACAACCAATAAACATTAGGCAAGAAATTATGTCACCAAAACAATCAGAAAACCAGAGACAAATAAATCTATCATCACCTCAACCAATACAAACAAATCAAAGACAAAAATCCTATCCGCAAACAGATTCATCAAAACTTGTTTACAGTTTATCATCGCAATCTTCAACACCCGTGCAAAGGTTTTTATTGCCAGATACATTCAAAGAGTCCTCTTTTCCTGTTCAAATTCATCAAAGTTCATCAACGATTCATCATTCTAACAATTTAAGTTCACCACCACAACAAGAAATCTCGCAAACTGTCAAAGCTTCATTACCACAAATAACGTCAAGTCAACGACCTTTACCACAAAAACGTAAATCAAAGGGCGCACTTGATTTTATATTAAATGAAGGATCTGGATCGACTAATGACGATAATGGATCAAGTCAAAAAAGAGGAAAATTTGATTATTTTGGGAACAAATAAGTTTTTCGATTTTTTTCTGATGTTTTTTTCTTCTGTTAATATGTAAGATAAAAAGGTAAGCTTCAAATCTACAAAAAATTAAAATTTTATATAATAATTATACAATAAAAAATTGTAATTTAAAATAACATAATAATATCACATGATTAAGATATATTTCTGTAGATAATTTTTTTTTTTATTTATTTGTATAAAATAATTTTTTTTCTTATGTTGACAAAATAAAAAATTTTGCTTATATGAAATATTATAATAAATTATTATTCTATTTATCATTAGCTTCATATATATTCTAGCACTGTTTTTTTTAGGATTAAAATTCTTTTGACTATGACGTCTGATCTGGTTGACATAAATTGATATGGTACATGGATTATCTATCTTTCCTTTAAATATTACGTCAAAGAATTATTATCGTTCCAAATAAGCCAAAACCCTTTAAAAGCACTTGTAATACTTGTAATAAATCACGAGGAAAAATCGAACGCGTGGTGTAATGATGCTAAAAAAACCTAATTTCATATGTCAACATTTAAATAATTTCACAATCATTAATTTTATCTTAATTATCGGCAAAAAAATTTTTTTTCATTTTCAAGTTAAACAAATCATAAAACGAGTCTAATCTTTTTTTTTCTTAACATTAATTAATTACATATAAATAAATAAATCGATCATATTTTTTTTTTACAATATATTTTTTATTTTTTTTTTATTATTTTTATTATTTTTTTATTCGTTATGATAATAATATAGAAATAACAATGATTAGAAATAATTCCTTAACAAGATTTCAAATGAAACTTATTTCATGGCTTTGCACCACTGCACCGATAATTTCTTTAATATACTATCTCTTTTATTTAGCTAACAAAAAGTCATTGTTGGTTGGAATTTTTCCTTTTAATAATTTTATCGAATCTTCTTCTTCAAGCTTCTTACACTATTGGTTAGGTTTTGAGCTTTTGTTTTATTTTTATTTTTTACTAACAAAAAGTCGTTTACAAAAACTATTGGAACCTGTAACTTTGAGAAAAGATCAACGCACCAAAATTTTACACGATTGTTTACAAGAAATTGAAGACTTCAAAACTTGGATTGAAGGTTGGTTTAAAGTTGGTGATAGAAAAACCACCTTTGATCAAATTCACAGGTTAAACTTTGCAGAATGGTATTTATTTACTTTACATTTTATTTTATATTTTATCTTATCCATGCTCTTTTTTCTAATGTTTATTCTTTTTATGTTATTATTTTATTTTATTTTTTAGGTTAGCATGGAGTTTTTTTGGATGTGGCTTTGATCAGATACAAAATAAAGAACATGAAAATGAAATCATAGAAATTATCAGTTTAATTGAGATCAGTAATAATATCAAATTCCCTGAAGGTTATAATCCAAATTGTAAATGCATCAAATTAACTCTCGATCCTGTTAAAGCAATTCCTAGACCTTTTATTTACTATATGGTATGTGTTGAAACTCGTGTATATACATATATACGCACATATTTCTAAAAACTTATTTATTTTTTTCTTTCCTCTTTATTTATTTTAGTCAATTTATGTATTAAATTATATAGTAAGGGTTTTTTTAGGATTGTGCGGATTTGAACATAAAAGTTGTAAAGAAAGTATCTTGAATGGTTATTGGTCAAGCACACTAGAATTTGACATTCAAGAAGAAAACTCTCTTTCATCACTGTCTAAAATTAGTTATTGGTATTTCAATCCAAGTAACAAAAAAAGAAAAAAGAAAGCTCCAATTGTTTTCATACATGGCGTTGGAGGATTGTTCTGTTATTTCACATTTATCAAAAAGTTACGGAAATTAAATAGACCTTTATTTCTAGTTGAATTGCCTTATGTGTCATTCCAAATGGTCGAAGATGTTCCAAAAATGCATGAAACTGTAGAAGAGATTGAAAGAATGATAATTTCTAAAGGTTATTCTTCTGCAATATTTGTGGGTCATTCTTTGGGCACAAGTGTTTGTTCTTGGATGATTAAGGAAGCACCAAAAAGAGTTAAAGGTTTAGTATTGGTTGATCCAATTTGCTTCCTATTGCATCATTCTGATATTGCATTCAATTTTGTATATCGAAAACCTGTTTCTGCAAGTGAGGTTTGTATTTAAAATTAATTTGCGCATATTTATATATATATATATATAAAATTGAATTTAATTTTTAATAATTTTGTTTAATAGTATCTAACTGCACTTTTTGCATCAAGAGAATTGTACATATCACATTATTTCTCGAGACATTTTCATTGGCACGAAACTGCATTATTCATCTCAAAGCAAAAAATCTTTCGCAAAAATGCATTCATTTATTTATCTGAACTAGACAATATTATTCCTTCCGATAAAGTTTACAAATATTTAAGTGATAAAAAAGTATCTGTAAATATGATGTCAGGATTAGATCATGCAAATTTCTTGTTTAACACATATTGGGTTGATAAGATTATTAATGATATTTTATATTGCTGCGATAATTGTGATTCGGCAAGAAGAAGTTTTTAATTAAATAAATTTGTGATGGGCGGGAGATTTTATATACACTTTGTATTATAATAATAATAATAATAATATAAGATTAATTTCAAGAAAGAATAAAACCCATTTTTGTAAATTTTTCAGCCAAGTTAGAAACTTAATAATATTTAGCTTTATATATAACTTTTTTTTTTCCTAAAAGGAAAAATGTAAATAGTAAGTTCCGTAACGATTAAAGATGACCAAAAATTGACTTACTTGTCTCGAGAGCCTTGTTTTCAATTGTCATGAGTATTATGTGAAGCATTTTTTAATCAAAAGTTGCTTTTTTATGTTGTCATCTTTCTATACACTCCATTAAGTCACCTATATGATCTTACTAATACAATAGAATTAGTATTAGTAATGATCTGATAGCATTTACATACACACACACATATATAGAAAAATGTATGATAATATTAATGATTAATCATCTTTTATTGCAATACTTTTATGACATAAAAAGAACTGATAAACGATCTAAACAAACTGATTGGAGACGGGACTCGAAAAAAAAAAGAAATCATTCTAATTATTAAATATTGGATACTCACAAGACTTGCGCCTGCATATACCTATGATCAGTCAGCAATTATTACAGTTTTTCCTGTTGATAATAAATATAATACAACAAATAAAATTTGTTATATGTTGTATATACATCAATGCATTTTGTTTAAAACCACAAATTTTACTATCGATCACTGATAAAATATTCTTTTAACGATGTTTATTGGTAAATAATATTCATCTACAGATAATACAATTTTATTTTTATTTTCTGAACAATCCAATATGACAATATCTTTACCATCTCCCGTCAAGTTGATAATGAAAATGACAACAGTGATGATTTTTAATAATAAAAATGTTATAAAATTTCATTGTGTAAATAATTTCTTTATGTATAGATTGATATTAGTATTAGAGCATTAATATTATATTTAAATTTAAGTTCGAATATGACGATTCCCAATTACAAATTCTAATGCTAACTCCCCGTTTAGTTTCTTCACTTTGAAAAGCTGTTTGTTATACGAACAATTTTTTTTACAAGTTCGAAATTCAAAGTTTGATTAGATAATAATGTTACACCCAACAATCACTGATTTACATAGTCAAGTCGTGTTTTAAAGATTTTTGACCAGAAAGGAAATTTACTTGCCTTTAAGCAAGATCTTTGGGGTAAAATTTACGAATGATAAAAAAATTATAATGATAATCTTACATTACAAATGTACTACGGTCACAGATAATAAAATAACAACAGATAATAATTAAAATTTTCTCGTAACAGATTTTTGCATAAAATTTTGACTATATTAATATATTAATATAATTAATATATAATTACAGCAAAACATTTAAATAATATATAGAAAATTTAAAAAAAACAACACCCCCTTAATTTTTAACAAATAAATGGGTTTCCAAATTTGGAATTTCTAAATACCGTAATGATTGGCGATCTTGTTGTATATGTATTAATTAATTAAATATACAATATTTATCGGTGTATGAAATTAAATTAAATTGGAATATTGAAATTAGATTATTTCCTGTGATGCCTAAAGAAAATTGTATGAATTTCAGGAGCGTGTAACACAAATCAGATACCTAGGGTTTTGTATTAATGAATGGTCCAGTCCAAAGACCACTCAGTCTAATCAAAGGACTAGACTGCAATTTGTTCGGAGTCAAGAACATCTTTTCTATACATTCTACTAAAACTAAAACTAAAGAAAAATACAAGAGATAAATCTAACTATATTTATAATAAATCAAAGTACTATCATTTAGGATCCGGTTCCATTGAATCAGGATGATTGGCTTCTCTGATAATTAATTAAATATTTTAGAGAAAGGTCTCTTTTCTAAAAAACATTTCCAATAACTATAATAATTTCTAATTAAAGTTATTAATTAAAGAATCAAGAACTAATAACATGATTTCCTCTTGTTATTTATGATTTTCAAATTATATAATTTCTGACATGCCTTTTAAATACACTATTTGCATTATACATGTTGTCAAAATTAATTTGGCTTCCTAAAATCTCAATTTTTAATTACGTCCGACTCAATTATTTATATGTTTTCATATGATTCAATTTAATTGCGTCAAAAAGTCACCTGATTGAGTCAAAGTGATCTACCACATGTAAATAATTTGCATCATGTTTAAGGTTGCCTGCCAAAATCTGTTTAGCCTGATGCTGAAAGATAAAAAACTTCCTACATAGTGTTGAATAAAGATGGAAACTGAAATTAGCCGCAATTCGATTTTCATATGCTTACAACTGCAACCACGATTCAATTTTTTATATGCCACAATTAATTGAGAATCATCTTTAATGTTGAAAGTTTATTTGAATAAAATGAATAATTCAAATTAAGTTGTATTGTGAATAATTTGAATAAGAATTTGTATTACAAATAGAAACTCTAGATTAAATAATAATTAATATTTGAATACTAATATTAGTTGATAAAAAAAATTTAGTTGTAAGGCTCCGAACGAATCAATGAAATTCAAACCAATTAATTTGAATCAAATTCGAATTCGAATCAAATCAAATCAAATCAAATCAAATCAAATCACCTAATTTTTGATTCAAATTATACTCTGATTTGATTTGATTTGATTTGATTTGATTTGATTTGATTTGAACTGATTCGAATATATAATTTGATTCAAAAAGAAAATTGCCTATAATCTTTGTTTAATTGTAAATTGGATTACTTTTTTTATTCGTCATTACGTTATCATTATTGTTATCAATAATAATAATAATGGTTATGGTGGCCGAAACTACCTTACTTTAGTGGACCAAAATTGCCGAAATTAATTGGCCTTAAACTTTTGACAAAACTAATTTTAATAGCTGAAATTGGGCGAAATTATTTTTAAATTTTTCAAAATAAAATAGATTGATTTTTATATGCATTAGGCGAAACTATCTTTTTTTCAAAATAGTTTCCACCACTAAATAATATCTAAAAAATTTTAAATTTAACAATATACACAATCTTGATTTTGGGTGATTAGAAATTTTTTCCAAAATTCCGTTATTATTATATTAACACAGTCAAACTTTGTCACAACGGACTATAATTAAATCCTTGTCATAACGGATTTTTAAAAGTTTTTTACTTCACAAATAAAAATATTTCTTATGTGTCCCGTCTATCTGCTGTGATCTATATCAAGAAATCAGTTATTTTGAGAAGAATTTTATTGTTATTATTATTATTTTTATTATTAAACCTCAATCAATTAATATCCATTAAATCGAGGCACACTACATTGAGATTCACTGTGTTTAATATGACATCAAAAAAAATATATTTAGGAATCCGATTTGATTCAAATTGATTCGAATCGAGTCACGAATCGAATTGAATCAAATCCAATTCAGTTTTTTTGAATTCGAATTAACTACAGAACGAATCAAATCAAATCGAATCACTCTAAAATTCAATTCAATTCAATTCAATTCAATTCAATTCATTCGGAGCCTTGTTTAGTTGATTATATTAGTAGCTAGTTAGCTAAAATAGTCAATTTCCAACCTCCTAGGTTAAACTATGACAAAACTATATTGACATCTTACTAGCGGTTATAACTAAGGGTGCAACCAACTTATGAACACCTAAGGGCTACGACAACTAATACGGCATACGGCATATTATCACAAGTAAGGTTACAGCCAAATATTGTCACAGTGGATGAACGGGACACACAAGAAAATTTATTTAAAATCTGTTGTGGCGAGATTACTAATCTTTCCACAATGGATTTTAATATGTTTTTATATTAATATGCGAAACAAAAATTTAATTACCGTAAAGTCTAGTCTGGAAAGATATAGTGCGGATCATCTATACTCAAAAGTTAAAATTTTTGAAATATTATGTGATTCACACATCGGATTTTAAAAAACCCACCACCATTCAATTCGGCTTTAAAAGGGAATCTATCGATCTAAAAAAATTTTAAATTTGAAAGTTATGCTCAGAAATACAACAATTAAAGGTGCAGACATATTGTCGAACTATAACTCATAGTTATGACACAGCTATCACTATGTTGTAACTATGTCGTGACTCTTGGAAAGACTTTCCGTATGCCGTAACTGTTTATCTTAAGTGGTGTTAACCCGAATCAGGTAATCAAAAAGTAATCTAGGTACAGTCAAACACTATACTGTAAAGTCTGGAAAGATAGCACCCGTGACAAATAGCAATTTTCTATGAAATTGTGACGATTAATACAATAAATTGTGCGTGACAAACTATAAAATTACTAAAAAAGGAAATATCACGGGTCGCCATTTTTACGTTGATTCATAAAATTTGTTTCGCATATAAAAACATTAAAATCCGTTGTGGAAAGATTAGTAATCTCGTCACAACAGATTTTAAATAAAATTTCTAATGTGTCCTTTTCATCCACTGTGACGAGATTTAGCTGTAACCTTACTTGGTGATAGTATGGCATGGTGGCATACGGCACTTGCCATATGTCATATGCCATATGCTGTCGTAACCCTCAAGTGTTCATGTGTTTGCGCCCTTATTTGTAACGATCAATTTTTGTGACGTTTTTACTTTTCTTTTGAAAATTCCAAAGAGTGATAGTATTATCGGACGATTCTTTCCAAATTGTTACAAAGTATGTTGCATTAACTTAATTGAGTTGTATTCTTTCGTTAATTAAGTAACAATGTCAATTATCGTTTATGGTATAGTAAACTAGGAATTTTATCAATTTTGTAATACAGGATAGTATCACTGCATTATCTTTAGCTTTAACCTTTGTGATACGGCAAATGAAACCGAGGTTCAGGGGGATCCAACCATTTTAAAGGCTAACAAGTAATTATTTATAAACAGCAGTTCAATTTCATTAATTTACTGTTCCTTGGAAAATTTTTATGATTCCTTATCATCTATTAAATGTACAATAGAAAACAATGGCTTCA